ATGTCCTCTTCGGATATGAGCACAAGCAACATGACACACTTTGTAGACATTGAGAAAAACTGGGTTTCGCGGACTGCCCTAATGAGTTGATATGGCAATACATTTCGTCTCATAGAAACAGTCGCTTGGAAGGGATTCATGAACGCTGAATAAGGAACGTTTTAAAGTGAAAAAGTTTCGATTTTGCGAACAAGTCTTCGTGGGTCATCAACCATTGGGTTTAATAAATCAGTGCCCAGTTTGCTTCTGTGCTTCTGAGACGGACATGATCAAAGCGAGAAATCGTCATTAACTCATCATCGTCGCACCAATATCGTATGGCTTTAGTGAACTTTGCTGACTCGTTCTGATGACGCCGTCGGCCAAAAGCAAGTATAATTCAGTTTCCAGTCAGGCAACTCACAATTCCCGGCCAACCAGTCGTTTCGTCCAGATGAAAGTCGAATCACATTCAACGTGTACTTTGCCATTTCATACGACCACATCATTTGAGTTGATTTGGAGTCTGTCAGTCGGCCCAGTGGGCATAAGGAAAGACAATTCGACTATCGGCTCTTCTTCCGCCTATTCCACGTGGGGTTTAGTATCTTGGTCGGGTTTTTCGTCAGGCATGGCTTCTCACTCTGACGATGTTTCTCCACTGACAGACGATAGCCCAACACACGACGGCGAGTTGACGTCTACTTAGTACACTCCAGCCGTTAGAACTCCAAAGTTTCCAGAAAACCCTCCAACCAAGTATATGAAATGTGTTCACTTTATGTTGTTCAAGGCGATGAAAGATTCACACACTCATATAAAGTTCACATAGCCTTGCTTTCCAAAAAGGTGTCATCATCCCGGCTGAAGTGGACTGTATTTCCAACCTCATCAACACCCGCGGCGGGACGCAAACCACGACAGTTGCAGAGTATGATACTGACACGTGAACCACTACGCCCCCTTGTGAACCTTCGATCACATGGATAGATGTGAATTTCAAGTTATGCCAGGCATTTTCCCACATCACTCTCTGTGGCGGGATTGTCGATGAAGCCAAGTTGCATTTGCTACAGCAATCGACTAGATTACTCATTTTTCGTTTAAGTAGGGTTGCGAGACTTTCCATAAATCAGATATATGAGATATATTCACCTTATTTCTTTTCAACCGACTGTTTCTTCAAAAGGAAAAAGTAAATCACACACAATATAACAAACTTTCTGCCACCATTGTGGTCAAATTTTGGGTAAAGATGGAGCGACACAATGACAAGGTTAATGTCCCCTTCTGACCCGAAACGTGGGCCAAGGTCAAAAGGGATAGACAAAGCAATTATTGGCTGTTATGGCAACTAAATCCATATCAGGACCAACGTAGAGACAATGTAGAAGGCTGGATTTTTAACGACCTTGTTCTTTACACACTTCACGACACCAAAAGGAGTGTTTTCATCAAAGATCCAGTGCCAGTCGATGGGAGCGGGCATAAAGCATGCAGAAAATGATTGTGACTTCATGATTTTGGATAAAAGTAGTTTTCGTAAGTAAGTCTGGCGAGGCAGGTGAAAAACGTCTAAAGGGTGAAGAAGATGAGTTACAGCAACTAGGTTGACCAATGGCATGTATGAAGGGCTTTTTCTATTTGCAGTCACCTTTCGCTATTGAGACTGGATTTTAATCTCTTCTTTGCAACGCGGTCGTCGTGTCAGGAGGATCTTGAAGAACGACCTTCCCATCAGGTCATCTGCCAGATTGGACATGAGTATGCTCAGACGTGGCAGCAATATTGGATTCAGTAA